GACTGGCTATCTATCAATTCATGATAGTGGTTGCCTCTGGGAGAAGAACAGGGTAAGGAGGGGAAGAAAAATGTACATTTGAAAAAAAATCCCTGAGAAGATATGGTTATTTTGGTTTGGGGTTCACGGGCATTTGTTATATTAACATTTGGACTTTTGTTAACATTTTTGTAATAAAAAATTCCATGTAATATTTCCTAAGGGAATAAGTTTCAACTAGGAACCTTAAATTTATCAAGACTCTGAGAATGAGACGGAAGCTGTTCTAATGCATCTTTATTTCACGATGTCATTCTGTAAAAACTGGAAGTTGGTGGAATAAGTCTTGAACATGAGGAAAGCCCCAAGTTGACATGGCTCCTGGGAAGCCATCTATTAGTTTACAGATCAAGAATAAAGACCCAGTGGCAGACTGCTTCAGCTGAACCCTACCTTAACAGCTTCTAGCTTTGAGAACTTGGACAAGTCAACTTCTCTAAGCCTCAGTTTCTTTATTCAGAGACTGAGAATAACATTGCCTGTCTCAGCACTGTCGGGAGGATTATGAGTCCATGCATGTAGGCATGCAACAAAGATCAGCTATTATTATTTTCGATCACTCCTACAATCAGCAGCCTCAATTCTTTTAGTGTACTATTTTCATTCTCACCTCAGAAGCTTTGCAAATGCTATTTCCTCTGCCTAGAATGTTTTCATTTTCACCCTAATTGCATCTGGTTAACTCTTTCTCAAAGGAGTTCTTTTAGAATTCTCTCAAATTCTTCAGAGAAACTCCCTGTCCTTCCCCACCTGGGTCAGTTTCTAGTGGAACCACAAGTGCCTCTCTCCTGGATTGTTAACTTTTTCTTCACTACTGTATCTTTGGCACCCAGAACAATCTCTGGCATAAAGTAGGCATTGAGAAATTGTTTATTGACTAATTCAACAAAGTTACCCCAGAAGGTGAAAACTTTCAGAGTTAATTTTTTCAGGAAATAAATTTGACTCGATATGCTTTGACGAAAAGATTAACCTACTACTACGTTAGGAAGTAAATCTAGGATTGTATAACTTCATTAAAAATATATATATGTCTCATGTATTGGTTTAGTTTCAATAATAATTTTCTAAAAATGTAATTAATTAATTTTTTATGGTGACATTGGTTAATGAAATCCAATAAGTTTCAGCTGTACACTTTAACAGTAAGGCATATGTATATGTTTACACTGTGTGTTCACCTCCCATAGTTAGATTTCTTTCTGTCACTACATATTTGACCCCCTTTACCCTATTTATCTCCCCCCTCCCAATAATAAATTTTAAGGTACCCCAAAGGATGATTAGAGGATCATCTGATGGCTAGTAATATAAGTTTATCACATATTTTCACTTGCTGTGGAAAGCAAGAAGATTTCCAACACTCCAATCTTAAGGTTTGATTGGTTTATCTGATTGTTTACCCTCAAGTTAACTCACTTTTTTCTTTCAAAAACAGCAAAATAGGAATTAACAAACAGATGATACTGCCAAAGGAGCAGAATAAGCTAAGCTCAATCAGAATAAACTGATATAATAAGTAGTTTGAAAAAAGGGCTTTTGTAAATCAGATGGAATGTTACTTATAACTTTTCTTTGCTCCCCCTCCCCCTCTTATAACTTTTAAGTGAACTAAAACAGTAAACTCATTGGAAGGGGGACTTTCAGAGTTGGAGGAAAGGCAGAAAACTGATTTCTCCTTAGTTGTGGATTTAGTTACTCTGAGAGATAAACCTAAAGATACTGTAAAATTTGAAGAAGGGTCTGTGTATTCAGATATTAACATATTTCTTCAGGAAAGACATCAATAGGATTTTGAACTGATACAAGCCCAAATTTATTAGATAAGTATGGGAACAAAGCAAAATATGAGCAAGCAAGAAATGGGGACTTTTGAAGCATTGAAGGAATTTTTATGATCCAGATGGGTGGTAGGAAAATGAAATTCCAGGGCTTAGGAAAATAATGGAAAGCTCTACATTGAAAAAAAAAAAGCCTACAAATTTTAGCCTTGGGAGATTTCCCTCCTCCCTACCTTTGGAGACCCACATTTTTTAACACAAATCACTGGGAAACATTACTTTGTAAGCATACTTTCTCTCTGTTAACTGCAGAATACTGAAACTACAATCGCATTTTTGAATGCATATATTCATTCATTCATTCATTAGAACACAGTTTGATTTTAATTATTTGCCAACCTTGGAGTAAGAGCATCATTCTTTTTTTTTTTTTTTAACAGGTGTAAATAACCAAATTTATTCCATATGTACATACAGGTGTTCTTTTTTTTTTTTTAAATGGAAGTGAAACATCTCTTTCTGAGAATTGTGCAAAATTAGTTATTGCTCAGAAATATGATCTGGGGGTACTGCAAGATACTAAGATACAAACATTTTTGGAAATTTGAATGTGTAGACTCACAAAACCCTGCTAATAACCATTCAACCTATTTATTAATCATCTGCCCCAAATCATGGGTGAAGAGGACTTTTGAAGTCATGTGGTTAGAAGACTCTGCACTTTGGGAAATAATTGGTTTAAATAACATTCTAATTGTTGTAATCAAGCTACATCCTTGATACTCAAGACCTGCAGTCTTGACCCACAGCATTGGCATCACCTGGGAGCTTGCTAGAAATGCAGATTCCCAGGCCACACCCAGGCCTACTGAATCAGAATCGACATTTTAACAAGATGCTCAGGAGATGCCAATGGACATTAAAGTTTATTAAGCACTGCTGTTCAAATTCCTCTCAAGTTGTTTTTAGAAAAGACCATCTTTACAAACAAGTGACTCATTATCCAACAATGCAACACGTAGTATCTTTAGGCGACTTAATTGTTGGCAAGTTCTGTACTGAGCTCAAACCCAACTTCTTGTATATTGCATTCACTGGCCATCGCTTACCCACCTGGTAGCCTTCAGAACCTGGCTAATGCCTCTTCTTTATGAAGGCCATCCAAACATGAGAGTGGGCTGTCTAGTTTCTTCCCTTGAATTTAGCTTCTCCAGGTATAACTAAATCCCCATTCCGCCCAGCTGTATCTTGTATGACATTGAGGTTTCTTTACCCACCTATTCAAACTACATAATCTTAAAGAGCCCTTCCAGCTTCAAAATTGTGATTGTGCCTTTACTCCAGCTGACTATTTGTGGGTAGAAGATGAAAGAAACCCAGGAGCTGTACTTTCTCCTATCTATCTATCAATCATCTACCATCTATTTATTTTTTATGGTGACATTGGTTAATGAAATTTAATGTTTCAGCTGTACACTTTAACAGTAAGGCATATATATGTTTACACTGTGTTCACTTCTCATAGTTAGATTTCTTTCTGTCACCATATATTTGACCTCCTTTACCCTATCTTCCTCTCCTCTTTCCCCCTCCCCTCTGGTAACCACTAGTCTATAGTCCATGTCCATGAGTCTCTGTTTGTCCTGTTCATGTGCTACTTTTAGGTTTATAGCCCACATATAAGTGAAATCATGTGATTTTCAACTTTTTCTGTCTGGCTTATTTCACTTTGCATGATTATCTCAAGGTCCATCCGTGTTGTTGCAAATGGCAGTATTTCATCTCTTCTTATGGCTGAGTAATATTCCATTGTATATATGTACCACCACTTCTTTAGCCAATCATCTATCGTAGGACACTTTGGTTGCTTCCATGTCCTGGCCACTGTGAATAATGCTGCTATGAACATCAGTGTGCAAATATCTTTTTGGATATGGGTTTTCAAGTCTTTGGGTTAAATACCCAGTAGAGGTATTGCTGGATCATATGGTAGATGAATTCTTAGTTTTTTGAGGAACCTCCATACTGTTTTTTATAGTGGCTGAACCAATTTACAGTCCCACCAGCAGTGTATGAGGGTTCCTTTTTCTCCACATTCTCTCCAGCATTTGTTATTACTTGTCCTGTTGATTATAGCTATTCTAACAGGTGCGAGATGGTATCTCATTGTGGTTTTGATTTGCATTTCCCTAATAGCTAGCGATGTTGAGCATCTTTTCATATATTTGCTGGCCATTTGTATGTCCTCTAGAGAGAAGAGCTGTACTTTCTATACATTTTGGGAGAAAGATGCTAGGCACAAATTTATCATTATCCATGATTTCCTAAGGTTCCTAAGGTTCCTAATTCTGTCTTATAGTGGAGACTTGTGTTATAATAATAGCCACTAAAGAGCACTGTGGCCTGCCTTCTAATTTCTAAATGGGTCTTAGCTCTTCAAAAGCGAAATGCTTTTGGTAATTGTTTCCTAAGAATTTTTTTAAAAATAACATTTTTTACTAATACAAGAAATACAGAGCATGCAGTTTTTTATTTTGTTTTGTTTTGTTTTTTAAATCAGGGTTAGTCTTGTGTAAGAAAAGCTGTAGCGAGAGCATTTTGAGTTTTTTTTTCCAAAAATTTTATGAGGAAGTGGCCACAGCACATTCTTAAACTAGTTGCCCTTCTAACTAATTTCCCCTCGCTTCCTCTCCCTTCACTTTCTTGTAGATATTTTTATAATCCTTGCCCTTCTCATTCTCTGCTCTCCCTCCCATCCCTTCCTCTTCGGAAGATTTTCAGAGCAACAGTTTCTCTCACCTCCACATTTAACAATAAAGCTGTGTGTATGTGGAGAGAAGCTGAAAAATAAGACAGATGGTTCTTTCATCACCAGGTTGCCTTAGATTAATTGAGCTGAATATTATTTTTTTTTTTCAAGGAGACTGAGCTGAACCCTGTAGCTAAACAGTCATGAACTGTTTATAATATATGTAATATATATAATGTAATATATGCTACTGGTTTTGCTGTGAGTTTTTTGTTTTTAGTAATTTCATCATTTTATAAAGCACTTTGGGGAGGGGTCAGGAGTGAGTTTACTAAAATAGTATTTTCATTAAAATATTTTTAAATGGATTAAATTTTTCTCGGGTAGCTGAGCCATTCTTATAAGCATACTATCTTTGTGTTTTATTTCAGCACTTGCAAGTGAAGAAGCAGGGCAGCCTTCATCTTGGATAATTCTAGTAGAGAAGCTCCGACAATTTAGCACACAGCCTCCGGAGCATCCAGCACCCTCACAGCATCTTTCACCTTTAGAACAGAGGGCCATTGGGAAACAGATTCCTTAAAAGTGCAGGTAAGTAAAGGCAACACTGCCATTGTCTCAGATTTCTTAGATGGAAGTTTGAACATTTGAAATGTTCTTATACAATGATACAATGTTTCCACCTCTAGCAGGTGACTTTAATTTGTATACGGCTGCCTGTTAATTTATTTCTTACTACTTTAACCTGTGGCCAGAAGATCTCTGAGACTCAATGTAACCGATGACTCTTTAGCATACCTCGAAATTGAGCTATTGAAGTTTTAAATATTTTTATTCTCAATCTGAATGGGCCTTTCTTGGGACTGTTTTAAGCCAATATGGAAGTGAAAGAGTAAGAAAACTTGGATGTTAACTAGAACATTACATGCATCCCAACTCTTTTCTACACTGCTATTATTAACAAGTTGTGTAACTTAGGGCAAAGCATTGCCCTCTCTGGGCTTTTGTTTCTCAATAGAATGAACTCTAGTCCCCCCCACCCCCCCCACCCCCAAGAGCCATAACTTTATTAATGATAGAAACAGTACAAATTTCAAACTAAGCTGCAGTTACTATTTTGAAACACCAAAAAAGCGTCCTTGTTTTTAGATGGTTAATTGATAATTCCATAATAACATTTACAATATCATCATGTTGTTCTTCAGGACTTGGACTGCCTTTGCTCTTGACACATTTGCTTGTGACATGACCATTTCTATGTCCTTAACTTCCACACCTGTTTCATCAACCTCTTCCTCTTCGTTCTCCTCTTGTATAACTGGAATCTGTGTGTTTTCTTGAATGTTTGCGACAGCTTCACCTTGAACTTTGAGTTTCTCAGCAGCTGCTAGCTGTACTTGCTGAGATAAATCCTCGATCTTGGCTTCCCCCAAAACTATGTAGGTATCTGAAGCTGGCCTCTTGTAGACATCTGGCTTTGTGTTAACAAAAAGGCTAGTCTTAGATTTCCAGATACTGATCCTTAGTAACCTCTATAACCTGTTGAAGACCCAGTTTGGACATAGCCTTCCGTGCCTTCTTTTCCCTCCAGCTCTGTTTTGCTTTACTGACTGGTAGTTCATTGATTTCAGCTGCTGCTGCCCCGGGCTTGTTATGTGGTTGCCTGTGTGGAATCTTGCTCCTCAAGCTCCAGTACTGATTCATCACTATCCAGACCCTGTCTCAGCTTGGAGCTGTGGCAACTCCTGCTCTGTGGCAGGGATGGTTTCTGTGGCTTCACCAGGTATTTTGTGTAAAGAACGCGGAACCAGGGTGGTGGCAGAAAGAGAGCGAACGAGAGAGCCCCCTGTCTTTAAATGCTACAATAAATAATAATTTCATTAAAGTACGTTGATATAATTTTCAGACATATTCTCTTTAGTATTCCTGAAATCTCATGTGCAAATTTAAGATAGCAATTTATGAACTTGCTCTGAGAAAGCTCTGGAGTTTAATGTCTACTAGGACGTAGCTCCATGTTTTAGTCTTTCTGATTTGTTAAGATTCCTCAGGAATTATTCTACTAGCAGGTTTGTTTCATTACTACTTTGGAAATTGTTTTGTGAAGGACACTTAACTGATTGAGAACTTTAGACTTTGGTGGTACTGGCAACTATGGACATTTACAATGTTTTTGGGATTTAGTCTTTGAGAATCTCTTGAGCTCTTTGTCATTCAAACTGAGATCTTTCATGAGTGGTTTCAAAGACCTTTCCCACTAGGATTGCAGAACTGCTGAGATCGAGAACCTAGGCTGGAGGTAGGGCTGGATCTTTAGGTTTCTTACTGGCAGAAACATCTTCATTTAATGGAATCTGAGTTATAATCTTCTCGGTGATTTGTGGAACTGCCTTTCCTGTCAGTCTTTACATCTCCCGGCATCAAGAACATGGAAATATTTTGAGCATAATAGTGAAGAGCATGGATTCTGGTGTGTGCCTGAGTCCACGTTTCAGCTCTGTCACTCACTTGGGTATCCTTGGGTACATTATAACTTCTCTGGGCTTTAGTGCCTTCATCCGTATGATGGAGATGTTAAAGGGTGGTTTTGAGGATTAAAAGGATATACATCTAAAGCATTTAAAACAGTTCTGTCACATAAATGTTTAGAAAATTTAAACTCTTTATTGCCATCTGTTGCAGTGATTATTCTTCTGCCACCATTCTCTAGTCTAGGGCTGACAAGCGCTCAACGCTTCATTCTTGTTAGACATTGCTGAATGACCCTGTTATTTGATTCTGGGCCTAGAACACAATATTTGAATCATTCTCAATATTATAATAAATCTAAATCAGAGTGTAAGATGAAACCTATTTGCTAACTCAGATTATATGTAGAGTTCTTGATTTTATTTCTTGTTTTTAGACATAAATTTGATATGCTGATTACAAATCTGGGTTATTTGTTTTTATTAAGACGCAGAGCAGTTTTATTATGAAAAATGTAAAAAGGTGTTGGCTTCTATAGCCAGAAATAGGGCCTAATTCTATGATGAGTTTTGCTAATGAATTACTACTATCTTGAATGCCTTTTATTTTATATTCAGAAGCAGGTGAATAAGACTTCCTTCCTATCACAGATACTTTGAAATGTTGAAATGAATGTGCAGAAGTAATAGCTAGCATAGTAATGGAAGCTTAATTTTTTTGAGGCTATTCACATGATGTCAGGAGTTCTTTAGGATCTTTACCAGGATGTTATGAAATTGGATTTTAGTGAGGGCTTGGTGTATGGCCAGCTAATACTTCATTAGTTTTAAAAGAAGAATTAAGACAAGATTAGGAGGGTCCTTACCACATTTACCTAAGTGCTTTATATCTACTACTTATTAGGTAGCACCATTATTCCCATTTTACAGCTGAGGAAACTGAGGTATAAAGAAGTTAAGGAACTTCCCAGAGTCATACAGCTAGTCAGAGATAGAGCTGAGACTCAAACCCAGAAGGACTGGTAGTCAACCAGGCAAAGTTAACACATAATTATGCTGCTACCTACAAATAATAAATGGAATGAAGAAGATGAGAAGATGCAGAGATCAAATTATAGAAGCCTTAAATGCCAGGCTGAGTGATTTTATGTTTATTTGGCAGACATTGGGAAGCCACTGAAGGTTTTCCTGTGTGGTGGGTGACAAAATGAGAAGTAGGCTTTGAGGATTTTATGCTAGGTGCAGCATGTGGGCTGGTTTAAATAGAAGAAAGATTAGAGATTATTGCTAGTAGCTGAGAAGTAATGAGAACATGGGTTTAGGAAACAGGATTAAGATAAGAGAACACCTACATTAAAGTGTGATGAGGAAGAGAAGGTCTAGAGCACAGGCAGAAAAGATAGAGTGAGACCCAGGCCAATGCAATGCCATCCAAAGAAAGGTAGTTCAGAAATTGAAAACCACAGAGATCAGAGAGAGGACTGGAACAAAATGAAGACTAGTTAGTGGGTTATTATTGCACTCCCACGATGAGACTGGAATTGTTCTGGAGGAGAATCCACATGAGGATGTTTTTCTGTGCTACTGATGCTGCTACTTATAAGTGAGATAAACTTTGGCAACTTTAAAATTTTTCTAAATCTTGGCTGACTCTTTTATAATACGATGACATAAGACCTTACTCTGTTTAAATGGCCTAAACTCTAACGGTCTTTCCAGCTCTAGGATCTGTAATACTTGGGGCCAAATTGTAAACAGCAATAATTGGAAATGTTGGTGATAAAGTTTGGTGGATGATTCAGCTGGCACTTTTAGGTGAATCAGAAGGCGATGCAGAATGAAGTGTGTCCTGTAGGTGTAACCTGAGAGGAGTCCTCTCAAAAATAACGGTAGTATCATAGTCATACTGGTAGTAAATGGAAGGATAAGACTGAAAACAATATAGGAATAAGAATATCTAGAGAATTTACAAAGAAACTGCAAACATACCCTAGAATGGTGAGGGGAAGTTTTCTCAAAGCCACTTATTTTCAAAGTGGGTCTGACTAGCTTCATCAGAGAAAATCTTGCTGATAGGAAAATTTAAAAGGTCAAGCCCAAGAGACTTTTAAAAGAGATAGCCTGGAATTTAGAATGAGCTTCCAGTTCCTCTCAAAAACTATTTTTTGTGAAGCCCAAATCCTCTCAATGGCACACAATTCCTTTTTTCCTCTGACCTCCAATGGTGCTTCTCAAACACACACATCACAATTAAAATGCAGATTTGATTCAGTGGATCAATGGGTGGAGCTGAGATTATGCATCTCTGTCAAGTTACAGGTGATGCCAATATTGCTGGTCAATGAGCCACGCTTCGAAAAGCAGGGGTCTAAAATATTTAGCTTTTCTTCTAACAGCAGATAATCATACTCATTTTGAAACAGTGTAACTTAGCTCCCTCACCAGACTGTGAACTCCATTCCCTATATCCTGAAATAGATGAGTACACGTGCATAATGAGTGCTAAATATTAATATATTAATCAATTCTTACCTCTGCCAGTGGTTTGTGTTATTCAATGGTGTCAATAATTTGAATTGTTTTAAGTAGGTTTTCCTTTTAACCGAGACATTGAAGAAAATCTGTTTTACAGAAATAGGTGGTAGAATGCAGTATAAAATTTTCATATAAATTTAAACATATAGTTACTATATGATCCATGAGGACATAAGCTCACCCAAAGATTTGTACTTGAGTGGTCAATGTAGCTTTATTTACAATAACCAAAGACTGAAAAGGAACCAAGTGTCTGTTAGCCAGTGAATTGATAAAAAATAATGGTATAGCTTTGTAATAGAATATTACTTAGTAATAAAATTAATTCCTCCTACAAGCAACAACATGGACATTTTTTTCAAAAGCATTATACTAATTGAAATAAGCCAGAAATAAGATATATACTGTATGACTCCATTTATATGAACTTTTAGAAAAAGCAAAACTACAGTGATAAATAGATCAGGAGCCAGGAACTGGGGAAAGCGAGCTGACTGCAAAGAGGAACATGGGGACTTTGGGGCTGATGGAAATGTTTAGTATGATTTCAGTGGTTGTTACATGACTGTATGCATTTCTCAAATTATACACCTGAAAGTGGCAAATTTTATTATATAAAAATGTTTATCTTAGTAAAGTTAACTATATAATACTTTTTGAAGGACGTCTTATTGATGGGATATTAATAGAAAAAATAGAAAAAAACGCTCACTTTGGGAGAAGAAATAGATCTCTGGGAGAAAATCTGAATAAACAGTAGAAACATAAGAAGTCTCTTTAAAAGCTTCTTTGTGTATTTTCAATGTAGCTGAGTCTAAAGGGATAAATTTTGAAAACAGGAACTTCAGTTCATTTATTTTTAGTATCCAGTATAGTATACTATTAGCTGAATGAAATAGTCTATCCTGCTGTGCTATTAAAAAATAAAATTCTGCTGAAAAGTCATTTTTGTCCTTTTTGTATTCTTTGCACATCCAATTTTTAGAGGAGGATTCCGTCATCTGCTTTGGCAGCGAAGCTTTTGCTTTTAATTAGGTGAAAATATGTCTAAATAGGCTGAGGACAAAATCTGGCAAAAACATTGTTTTTCTAGAAGGACCGAAAGAGAAGAGTATGTGTGTATGTGTTTAGGAACTAATTGCCTATCATTGTATTAGCAGAAGAATTGGGAAAAGAGGAGAGAAAGAAAGTTAATATACATGGTCTTCTACCTAGCAGGAAGAAAAAAAATGATGTATTTAGAAATTAGCCAGAATGTGTACAGTTGGTCCAGTTTGTTGAAATTATATAAATTGATTTTTTGGGGGGAAAGCCCATAAGTCAACTTATAATTTTGTATTAAGTTACCCAGTAATGTCAGATTTTCCCCCTTAATTTGTATCAAATAGCTGTAGCTCAACCCTTCAGATTTAAATGTAGCCTTTTCAGGTGTAATATTGTGTATTATTTAATTTTGCATATGCTATTTTATGTAATTATGGCCTATTAAGCATTTGTAGGTCCTTTTAGCAAAATCCCATTAACCAGACTACTGATTCCTTAAGATTCATCTCTTTAATTGTGAAATGAATGGTTTTCATATAATGTTTCTAAGTATATTTTAATAAATGCATACATTTAATGTTTGTCATTCCCTTGCTTTACTTAAAAAAGCTATTAAGTGAATATATTAAGTTCATAATGTTATAGTTTAAAAATACAGTAATTATAGTTTCCTGTAATGCACAATTAAAAAAGAGACACATCTGGGTTCGAATTCTGGCCACTGCTCTGGGAATCT